TTACTGATGCCGGGAAATGCTTTCCGTTCCCCCTATGGCAAGCCGATTTAGCTTTTATTCATTTCTGGAGGATATCAAAAAATCAATTCTTACTAGTAATAATGTTTATTTCTGATATCAAAAATAGAATTTTAACTATTTAGAATGCAAATTCTTGATATCACAAATTCAATTGTAACTAGTTGTAATGCGTATTTCTGATATCAGAAATGCGATTTTAACTAGTGAGATTTGCATCGTTTTTCTCATTCATTTCAATGGGAGTTGGAATTTGAACTAGTTCAAATGCCAATTTCTGATATCAGTAATTCATTTGTTACTAGTTACAATTACATTTGAACTAGTACAAATACACATTTCTGATATCAAGAATTCAATTGTAACTAGTTATAAATAAAAATGAAATTATAACTATTAACAATTGAATTCCTGATATCAAAAAATGATTATTACTAGTTCAAATTGTATTTCTGATATCAACTATTGAATTACTGATATCAGAAATTGGCATTTGAACTAGTTCAAATTCCAACTCCCATTGAAATGAATGAGAAAAATGATGCAAATCTCATTAGTTAAAATCCCATTTCTGATATCAGAAATACACATTACAACTAGTTACAATTGAATTTGTGATAAGAAAGAATTTGCATTTTAACCAGGTAAAATTCTATTTTTGATACCAGAAATAAACATTATTACTAGTATTGATTTTTTGATATCCTCCAGAAATTAATCAAAGCTGAATCAGCTTGCCATATGAAAACCCATCTTTCCAGTCAAACCTGGGAGGCCGCTCGTCAAAAATTATTTGAGCACAGAAGATAGAAAATGCTGCTGAACCAGTCAGAGTTCAGGTTAGTGGGGTCAAAAAAGTATGCTGCAGAGCAGGTTAGGACATTTTCCTCCACAAACTATAAGCACTTTTATTTAAATTGATTCTCCTGAACAAACTGATTTGAATTTCATTTAATCGTTTATTTGAACCGGGACAGTGCACATTGATGAACACTTTAAAACAAAAATAATGCTTACAAGTGTAAATGAGCCGGATTTTAGCTTTGAGTTTATTTCCATCCTTAGTCCCGTTATACAACATATAAGAACATGACATTTATATACATAGCAAAAATAAATACATGATATGCAGGAAGAGCATGAGCAGCATACATGGCAGTACAATGTAGCAGCTATGATATATAAAGTGCAAGATAAGATAAAAGTGCTACATAAAGTGCAAGAGTAGATACCCCTGTATAAAAGTGCATTTAGCGGTGATTACACGTCTGTTTGTTGCTCAACCATTCTTTGAGTTGTCCTTTAAAACTATTGAGAGTGGGATAATCCCGTATCTCAGTTGGGAGGCTAATCCACAATGAGCTGCCTTTAAAGGCCCTGACACACCAGGCAGTCACCAGAGAACTCGCCGACACCGACATCGACTGTTGCATCGGCGAGTTCTCCTGCGTCTTGGCCATGTGTCACACTGGATTACTGGTCTGGGGGAAGCTCGCTAGTGTGTGTGTATGTATGTGTGTGTGTTTGTGTATTTTTGCATTTCTGTGTATTGTGTTTGTTTCCCGGGGAAAACACTCAGGAGAAACACCGGCTGTTGTTATGCCTGCTGTGACGTTAAGTTACTCCGTTCTCCGCTTGTAATTATGCCGTCACAAGCTTCAAAGTTGTATTTATCATCTGAATTTGCCAAAACAAGTTTAATATTCTGAAAGCCAAGACTTTGTTTATTTGAAATTAGATGAAAACAAACTGTCACGGACCCTGCTGTGTTATCTATGATTACTATACGCCTTACATTCATAATGTCAACGGGAGGGAGGGGAAGCGGCGCTGCGGAAGAGCAGAGTGCGAGTGAGAGGTGCCATCTTCCCTTTACAAGCTTCAAAAATGTATTTATCGAGTGATTTGGGAAATAAAAGTTTCATATTCTGAAAGCCTTTGATCATTTAAAATCAAACAAAACACCCGAACTCCGAAAAACTAGTTTTTTACGCATAGCAACGTTTATTTTGAAATGAGCCGTTGCGACTTCCGACTGATTTCGATACAGCGGGTCACATATACTCTTTAAAATGTAAGAGCCATAACAGGTTAAAACGTTCACTGTCAGAAAGGAGGGGAAATGCTGCTCGACGCTTTCATACTGGTGCCGGGAACTGCTACTTTCTGCTTCCCTCCAAAAATGTCTTGTTCAAGTTCACACTGGGGCCCGAGAGCAGTGGAGTGGGCTGCGGGGTGTTTTTTCACAAAACTGTGTCTCAGGGCATCTTAATATTTAAAAACCTATTAATGTGTAGTACCAGATTAACGGGAAGAATCTCAGCTAACTGACGATACGAACCATTTTTACCAAAACAAAACACAAGTCTCATAAGAAGCATCTAAATGACCCCTGAGCGAAAAAATGCTAACCCACTTGGCACAGAACTCAAGATAAAGATACCCTTATTACTTATCGTAACTGCACATACAAGATATCCGATTAATGCTGAGACTCCACAGATTATATAGGTATAGTATCATCACTGAGCGATCAGAACTCATGACAGGGGAAGCAAACACAGACATCACAACACGTAGCATTACGGAGCAAAAACGGGACATCGTCTCACCTTAGCTGTTATTCTGATCAAAAGTCGTGTTCAATGGCATTAACACGATACAAACGCTGCTGAGGGTTAATCCATAGGTTAATCCAATGTGTCTGTCACTTTGAAAAAATTATTTATAATCCATAATTCCATTTTAAGTAAAAATCGGAGAATACAAATTAGCTACTAATGGTAGCCACCAGAGTTATCGCAGCTTCCGGTTTTGGCTACGCGTCACTCTCACTCCTTATTTGGTAACGTGTGTGTGTATGTGGGAGTTCCCCTCGATTCCATTGGCTCTAGCGGTTAAAAGGAGATGTCAATCATCAAAATCGACCAAGGGGGGCCAGAGATATGGAAATTCCACCCAAATGACCCCAGAAGTGGGGGTTTGTGCTAAATCTCTCTAAAAAGGTCAAATTTCACTTGTTTTCCATCAATCTTGATACAGGGTACTTATTATATGTTGTAGTTTGGATTCCTAAAGCTTTTAGTCTACCATCCCATCATTCAAGGGTGGTTTTCACTATAAGTAATTCTTTGGACGGACGCTATAATTTACATTTCTTTACTGTGTTCAATCTGAATTTACTTTAAAATAAAAAAAATCTATATTGATTCTGACACTTCTACATCCAACTCACAGATGTAACCTTGCTTTGAGAAAAAAGATTTTTAATGTAACCCTTTTAGAAGGGAAGATATGGTCATTTGTTCTGGGAATGTCATTTTCGAGCCTGAGACCTGAAAAACAGGCTCAGGGCTTAACAGGGTAATGTGAAGCTGGTTGGAGTGTTTGTCACCTCTTGTCATTTTGTGGCCAGATGTGTAATTTAAATAGTTGGAAAGTGGTAACTAGTTAAATGGATGAAGGATGCAAAATAAATAGTAAACAATAAAATAAGTTTAAATGGGACTTTTAGAGACATTGAGCTCAGATTTGAAGGAGTTTTCATTAACTATCCTTTAATGGAATAAGGAAAACATCAGGTAAGGTAGAAGCTCTGACAAGCGTTAAACTATAAGCACTTTTATTTCAATAGAAAAGGTCCATCCTAAGTTTCTTGCTTAGTTTTCTACTTCTATTCTATTTTATTTGTATTTACTTGCATATTTCAAAACATTCTCTTGCACTATTTTATTTGTTTTATGTCCTATATAGATTCATGTTGCTCTGTTGGAGGAGCCTGACTTAAATTGTTCATTGCCATATCTACACTGTAGCTACTGTGCACATGACAATAAAGCCTTGAAACTTGAATCTACCTTACGGGGAAACAGGATGATATCCTGAACAATTATTTGCATACTACCTATGTATACTCTTTAAAAATGTAATAGCCATAACAGGTTAAAACATTTACTGTAATGAAGGAGGGGAAATGCTGCCCAACGCGTTCATCAAGAACTCTTACTGATGCCGAGAAATGCTACTTTCCGTTCCCCCCTATTCCAGGTGTTCCAATTAAGATTTTGATCAAAGGTCTGTTGATTAGCCAGAGAAAAAGGGTCAACTTCAGGTCAGCGTAACCTCAATATGAACACAACAATAACATCTTTCACATTTACTTGATATATCTAGCTTGCTTGAAACTTGATTTTGTACAAAACAACCTCTGAAAGCCCATCTTTCCAGTCAAACCTGGGAGGCCGCTCGTCAAAAATACTTTGAGCACAGAAGATAAAAAATGCTGCTGAATGCGACCGTCAGAGTTCAGGTTAGTCAAAAAAGTACGCTGCAGAGCAGGTTAGGAAACTTTCCCTCCTTATATTTCTGCTTCCATTACCATTCCTTTACTTCTCTAGTCAGGCAGGTTCAGTGAGAACTATTTCTCTTAAAGCTGCGGCCTGATGGGAAAACTTCATATTGCAGCTGTTGGAAAGAACATAAACAGCAAATATTTTGGCCATAAAACCAAAACGATGATGGTAAAGATGCTAAAATGCTCTGCTTAGCTGAGGAGAACTGCACAGTCAGGTGATTCTCTGTGGGTTGGGGGCTCCCTTCAGGAGCATTGGGCTGAGAGAAACATGACAGAGGTGGGATTCAGGTCAGCAGAGAGAGTTTGTGAGGACACTGCTCTGAAAACACACAGTAATAGATAGACAGGAAGCTACAGTATAGGTTGGGAAAACATGTGTGCCTGGTTGCTTGTTAATGCATGCGTGTATTTTAATATTAAATTCAGATTCACTGCTTTTTTAAACATTCCCATATTGCTGCTAACATGCTATTGAGCACCTCCTACTGTCTGCATATCATATCAGTTCCCACCATATGTTGAAAACACAAAATTCTACATTATTCACTCCAAATTACAACTTCACGTAAGCATGTGAAGACAGTCTTAGGCAGAGTGGTTATGAGCAATAACTTAATGACAAAAGGGGTTTGCTCATTAATAGCAGTTTTATTGCCGTTTGATGTGGATTTATTTCCTACATTACAAGACAATGATTTCATAATCACTAGAAAAAGAAAAGAAAACTAATAAAGCACATGACATGAGGCATTTTAACTCAGAAGACATGTTGGTAAACGTAAAACATACTCCGATATAAAGCTCAGTTTTAATCAGCTGATAAGGCTTCATGGTCCTGTTCCTGCTACAAGTCAACATGTCTGCCGTAAAAAAGGTCTATTGAACTTCTTCCATCAGGCAAAGTAAGATATCAAATAGAAAGGTAAAGAGAAAAGGACAACATTTAAAGCAATCAAAGCTTCATATTCTTGTTGGATGTTTGCTGTGGAGTCGCAGCTTATTTCTTGCACGGGCACCCAAAGCGAACTTTGTAGTCACGGCACATGCCCTTTCTCTGGTCCTTGTTGCGGCAAACAAATCCCTGAGTCGGATTGAAGCTGAAAAACAATACCAATTATTAAATGAATAAGTCTGAAAGTTATATGAAGAAAACCCATTTTAAAAGCAAACAAAAAGGTATTTTAAATTGGATATGTTGCTTAGACCATAATTCATGTTTAGCTCTGATATAAATCCGATATAGTTTATTAAAGTACATTGATGCTAGTTCAAATAAACTTCTACAACCCTTTTGATTATCATAATTGTTCTTGTTGTCAGGTGGAACTTTGTTAAATATCTCAGATATCCACAATGATCATTTCAAATCATTAAAATGTCTTCTACTTAAACTATCAACACTTAACTATCAGAGAAAATACAAAATGTAAAGTTTATTATGACATACTGTATATGCAGAACTTTTAAATCTACATAGAATGAAAGGAAATATAATCCAAAATCAAACATTACCAATTTGATCATGGTTGCAGAGGATCAGGGACCTTTAAAACTGTAAGAGAAGTTTGGAATAAGGAATTTAAATCAACATGAGCATTATCAAAATAAATGGAGTTGCTTGAAATAAAAAGAATGTGAGATGAACTTTCTATTTTATTTCAGTTTTAACAAGAAAACTGTTAGGTAACGTGGAAAGGGTAGGACCCAAATGCAGACTTCAAAAAGGAAAAAGGTCTATAAACAAAAGGCGAGCATTATTCCAAAGCCGATGAGCACAAAAACAAGGCATGAAAAAACATAGATAGCACAAGGTAGCGAATACAAACAAAACTGACCGTGACTGACATGGAGGGAGACAGGAAAAACCAACAATGAACCGACAAGGCACACAGGGGAAGACAAGACTAAATACAGAGAGGGGTAATCACAAGACAAGACACAGCTGGGGTAAGGGAGGCAGAAACACAAGGGCAACAGGTGAACACAATCAGACAATCAGACACACCAGGGGTGTTTCTCAATCGCGAGTAAAGCTGCTTCAGAGCCACTATTTCAAGCATCCTACGTCATCGAGTGCTGCCGAAGTACTGTTCCAATCTCCAGTATACTTGGAAATCTACCGAGCCCCGCGTACTCCGTTTGGAGAAATATCGAGTCTGCACATGAGTAGACTTCGCGGTCTTAAAATCCCCACAATGCTTTGCGCACAGACCAATTTCCCCAAATCTGTGGCGGAAGATGTAATGCGGGGCCTCTCATATGACGCACACCTGCACACTTGCTAGCGTGTTCCACACTTCGTTTTCCGAATGCCAGGAAGTATTCTTGACTCGCTTCTGAAGCAAGATGCTCGGCAGACATGTGCTACCAAGCAAGCGTACTCGCGATTGAGAAACACCCCAGGGAAACTAACGACAGGAAGGCAAACACAGGAAGAAGGAACAGAGAAGACACAAGGAGGAAAACATTTCAAAACAAAGGTGGAAAATGAAAACATAAATACAAAACCTTTGTCTAAATGTTTGGTGATTAGTTTTGACACCCATTTCTCAGCTACCTTAGAGACACAGGGGAGGATGCTGATTGGTCTGTAATTGGACATTATTGCCTTATCCACAGATTTAAAGATCGGTGTCACCGTGGCCACCTTCCAGGATGATGGAACTTCCCTCGTGCTGATAGATTGATTTACTAACATAGTAATTGGTTGTATTAGACCGTCGATATGTGTTTTTATAAAGTTGGTGTCTAAATCATCTGCATCCCTAGCCTTAGAACCTCTTAACCCTAAGATTATATGTTTTACCTCAGCCTCTGTGATTTCCTCCAGGTCAAAAACGGGGTGTGTATCCACAATCGGGCTAGGTGAGACCTCAGATGGCGGGAAGAGCTTTGTAATGTCCAGAGCACTATTTATGAAATACTCATTTAGAGAGTTGGCCAACACTGCAGGGTCTTTTATCAGGGCATCATTGATTTTTAATTCTAGTACATTATTTTCCTGTTTGGTATGTTTACCTAATAGTTTATTTAAGATTTGCCAAACTTTTTTACCGTAATATGTGACCTGCTCTATCAAGATCAGTCACATTAACCTGAAGACACATTTTGAGTTGTATACACTGTTAGAAAGAGGAGATTCCTAGCTTTCTAATGACATCAGGATTGTTGTTGTACTCCAAATATTAAGCAAAATATGTCACATTATATAATGAATGTCACCGAGTAATAATTTTGAGAAAAAGGCCTTCAAAGTTTCCTCTTCAATCCATCGATCTGATTGATTATTAGCGGAGCAAATTATCAAAGTAGTACGGAGAGAAAATATTTTCGTTTGGATTACTGGTCTGGGGGAAGCTCGCTTGTGTGTGTTTTTGGGTTTGTGTGTATTGTGTTTGTTTCCTGGGGAAAACACTCTCCGCTTGTAATTATGCCGTCACAAGCTTCAAAGTTGTATTTATCATCTGAATTTGCCGAAACAAGTTTAATATTCTGAAAGCCAAGACTTTGTTTATTTGAAATCAGATGAAAACAAACTAATGGACCCTGTCGTGTTATCTATGATTACTATACGCCTTACATTCATAATTTCAGCCGGAGGGAGGGGGAGCGGCGCTGCGGAAGAGCAGAGTGCGAGTGAGAGCTGTCATCTTCCCTTTACAAGCTTCAAAAATGTATTTATCATGTGATTTTGGAAATAAAAGTTTCATATTCTGAAAGCCAAGACCTTGTTAATTTAAAATCAAACAAAACACCCGAACTCCGAAAAACTATTTTTTGATACAGGAAGCTATAGGTTGGGAAACCATGTGTGCCTGATTGCTTGCTAGTGCATGCGTGTATTTTAATATTAAATTCAGATTCACTGCTTTTTTAAACATTCCCATATTGCTGCCAACATGCTATTGAGCTCCTCCTACTGTCTGCATATCATATCAGTTCTCACCATATGTTAAAAACACAAAATTCTACATTATTCACTCCAAATTACAACTTCATGTAAGCATGTGAAGACAATCTTAGGCAGAGTGGTTATGAGCAATAACTTAATGACAAAAGGGATTTGCTCATTATTAGCAGTTTGATGTGGATTTATTTCCTACATTACAAGACAATGATTTCATAATCACTAGAAAAAGAAAAGAAAATTGATAAAGCACATGGCATGAGGCATTTGAACTCAGAAGACATGTTTGTAAACGTACAGGCGTAAAACATACTCTGATATAAAGCTCAGTTTTAATCAGCTGATAAGGCTTCATGGTCCTGTTACTGCTACAAGTCAACATGTCTGCCGTAAAAAAGGTCTATTGAACTTCTTCCATCAGGCAAAGTAAGATATCAAATAGAAAGGTAAAGAGAAAAGGACAACATTTAAAGCAATCGAAGCTTCATATTCTTGTTGGATGTTTGCTGTGGAGTCGCAGCTTATTTCTTGCACGGGCACCCAAAGCGAATTTTGTAGTCACGGCACATGCCCTTTCTCTGGTCCTTGTTGCGGCAAACAAATCCCTGAGTCGGATTGAAGCTGAAAAACAATACCAATTATTAAATGAATCAGTTCGATAGTTATATGAAGAAAACCAATTTTAAAAGCAAACAAAAACATATTTTAAATTGCATATGTTGCTTAAACCATAATTCATGTTTAGCTCTGATATAAACCCAATGTAGTTTGTTAAAGTACATTGATGCTAGTTCAAATAAACCTCTACAACCCTTTCAATTATCATATTTGTTCTTGTTGTCAGGCAGGCAAGTTTATTTATATAGCACCTTTCAACACAAGGCAATTCAAAGTGCTTTACAAAAATGGAAGACATTAAGAAAATGGCATTTAAAAATCAGTCATTAAAAATAAAAGATAATAAAAGAAACATTAGGTGGAACTTTGTTTGTAATATTAAATATCTCGATATCCAATACAATGACATGTCTTCTAATGTCAATTAAATGTCCATGTACAGAGTTTCTATTCACTGTATAGGTGTAGCTCCAGGCAGCACATGTGGGTGACTTGTAAGCAGTTTTTAATGTTCAGAAGTACCGATGTATTCCTGGGATGTGGTTAAATAATCATTTGCATTATTTCAATGAGGCAACTTACATATAGAAGTTCTCCCCTGTGGAGGTGGCTGGGGTTATCGTGTCCGTGGTAACGACCTCAATGTACAGAGGGTTTTCACAGATCTTTCCTGGGTTGTCTTTCCTCAGGTAACTCAAAAGCTCCCAGTCCCCTGTGTAACTGGGATCGTCACGGTCAAACCAGTCGGTCCAGCACACTGCAAGGAGCAATAAAAGAGTGAGAGGACGACTGGGTAGGAAGCTGTAAAACTCTCCTAAATGAATGTTTATACAAGAGAGTGCTTATACAGTGTGGTGTGCTCTTACCTCCACCACAGAAAGGGGGATGGCAGCTGAAACGAACACGGTAGTCACTGCACCTCTGCCTTCTGGGTTGATCACGGTTTCTGCAGACGAATCCTGAAGTGACGTCATTTCTGAAATTAAAAAGTTTAGTCCAGATGGAAATATCTCCCAAAAAATGTTGATAGGGTGCCATGGGGATTCTGTACAGACATTCCTGTTCCCTGAAGGATAAATGCTTCCTTATTTTTTCGGCTTTTCCTCCAGTGCCAACAGGAAGTTGACAAGAGCGGTTTTGAGCGTTTTAACAGATTGGATGGATAGCAATTTCATTCAGTAAACACATTCATGTCCCCCGCAGGAATAAGTGTAATCACTTTGGCAAGCCAACATTAACATTTAAATCAATTCAACACTGTTCCTAAGTACACCCTCACAAAGCCAGCATTTTGCTCAACTAGTGTGTAGTACAAAACACTGAAGGCTTGTGAGAAAGATAATTGATTTAAAATATATCCAGTACTGTACAATTGTGACTGGCAACTGACTGAACCCCCTCTACTAATTCCCATTGCTCATTGGTTACCAGGTATATGGCTAGTCAATAGAGCAAACTAGTATGTGGAAATATAATTTGGTGTTACCAGGTACACAAACATATGCAGTAGCAACACATTCAGTAGAATACAGTATTAACCATCACATCAAACATTCAAATTACTCCTACTTGTTGAGCACTTACTTATAAATCACCTCCTCTGTTTCGATCACACCGAGTCCAGAGAGAGTCGTGACATCTATACCCTGTGGTTTGGGGCAGATCTTTCCAGGGTTATCCTTATAAAGTCTGTTGAAGGTTTCCCAGTCTCCAGATCCACTGGGGTCATCTCTGTCAAACCAGTCAGTCCAGCATTCTGGACATGGGCATTTCAAATGATAGGTAAGCAACAATACATTTAAAACATTACTGAAATAGCACATGTTGGGATTTGTGAAGTGTCAATAGGTATGATTTGCTTAAGAATGTGGGTGGGATAGTCGCAGGGAAGTTCTAAATAGAATACAAAATAAACATAATTATGAGTGTCAGAAATGTCTCTTAACAAAGGGAGCCACTGAATGGTTTAAACAATTACTTACTTGGGTTCACCACTGGATCTCGTGGAGCGGGCATAATCTCTGGATCGGGAACCCCCTGGTGGCTTTCTGGTAAAGGTTAAGAGACAAATGTTACAAACTGTGACTTTGTATATTCCCGGTGAAATACAAATATGATCATCTAATTGTTATAATCAACCTACCCAAGAACAATGTGGCAAAAATGGCAACACTTAACTATCGGAGAAAATACAAAATGTAAAGTTTATTATGACATACTGTATATGCAGAACTTGTAAATCTACATAGAATGAAAGGAAATATAATCCAAAATCAAACATTACCAATTTGATCATGGTTGCAGAGGATCAGGGACCTTTAAAACTGTAAGGGAAGTTTGGAATAAGGAATTT